TCTCAGCTTCGCATCGAAGCTAAAAATAGGTAGGAAATTAATCAAAGGCTAGAGGTGTGGAGATCAGCTATTGAAGAAAAGGGTTTAAGAATAAGTAGAAGTAAGACAGAACATATAGAGTACGACTTTGACAAAGGATAACACGAGGTAGATGAAATGAGGAGGTCAGTGACAATAGGAGAGGACGTGATAAGAGAGGTGGAAAGTTTTAAGTATTTAGAATCAGTTGTGCAAAAGAGCGGTGGTATTGATGAGGGTGTAAGACACAGAATTAAGTGCGGGTGGTTGAAGTGGAGAGAAGCGTCTGGCGTCTTATGCGATAAAAAATTCCAATGAGGCTGAAAGGTGAATTCTACAATACTGTAGAGAGGTTAGCTATGATACATGGATTAGAATGTTGGGTGGTTGATAAGAAAGTAGAGCAGAGAAATTACCCTCAATTTTTGAGGGTAATGTCTTCCACTAAATACAATTTATGATCTTTTGACGTATTTTTCATCAAATTCGATCCTGCGAGAGCTGAAAATAAGCGTTCACAGACACAAAAAAATTAAAAAAAAACACATTAAAATTAATACCTTCTCAGCTTCGCATCAAAGCTAAAACATTTTCCATAAATCAAGGGTCAAAATATACAGTGGCATAAAAACCTTTATTTAAAACATGTGGTTGGACTTAAAAAAAAAAAAGTAAAAGCGCGTACTTTCGTTAAAAAAAATTTTTTTAAATCGGAACAGGCTAAGTGATTTTCTTAGAAAATCATTTTTTTCCTTGTTCTATTATATGATAAGAGAACTCATAAGTTATTTTAAAGAAAAGTTAATTAGTTTACCAAATTTCGTTATAGTTACTTTAAATGTATGTTAATTTAAGCTATATTACTATTCAAGACTAAAAAAGGTATATAAATACATTATACATAGATGTTAAAATTTTANCAAGACTAAAAAAGGTATATAAATACATTATACATAGATGTTAAAATTTTAGTGTTTAATTCAATTATATTGAATAAAAATATTTTAAACATTTTTGTTTTATTACTTGACTGTCTATTACCATAACTCGATATTTAATTATTATTATTAAAAAAATTATAGGAATTTATTAGAATAGACAATGTATAACATGATAATGGAATCCTTCTCGCAAAAACATAACTGTGAAAAAGGACTAAATTTTAGAATACCCCTTTTTTAAGTTATAAACTCACTTCACACTTACTTCTATGAGCAACACCGTCCTTATATTTGTATCGCTCAATGGCTGGCCAGTTTTTGACTAGTTAAAGGTTAAAAGTAGACTTAGCCTCAATGCCTAATGAATCTCGCGATAAAATTTTTTCGCATTCCCATCACTTACTTAATATCATTGACAATATATTATAATTATATAATTGTGAGTAATATTGAGTGGTCACTCGATTTTTTGTAACTTTTGCGCCCTCCCATGAACTTTGGGTTCAAAGTTGGAAAAAAATTTCACATAAGTGTGACCCATCAATTTGTATTTAAATTTTACTGGGAGTCCTGTGATATAGTTTATTTTTAGTTTAAACGATTAAATAACAAGAAAAACCGAAAAAACCCATAAATTATGTCATATTTTTTTAATTTCACGAGTTTATTTCGTCTTTTATTATTTATTCAAACCGATTATAATTTTTATCATTAAAACTGTTCTAAAATTCTAAAATTTTTTTCTTTTTAGGTCGGGAAAATAAAACGATCACAATATTGAAAGGAATATTTTAAACTTTATTACAATAGGATAATTAGAAATAATTATTTTAATGTAATCGGCACACTACTATTTCTCGAAATTAATCAATAATGAGAATGTGGTACATCACTGAGCTTGTTAATATTTATTTAAATGTTCGAAAAATACTGTTCACTATTGAATAGTCACTAATTAAGTTGCAAATAATATTAGATAACTTTTAAAATATAGCTTCTTTTTTTATGCAATAAAAATGCATAAATTGCAGTAAAAACGAATAACCTATAGTAAACAAATAACCTGTAATGTAAAAAAATTTTAATGTGCGTCACTAGCTTAATAATGTAATTTAAATTTACTCTTTATCATTTACAAAACCACCCGCTGTTTAAGCATTTATTTTAAGTTTTTTGTTATAAAAATTTAAGTAAACTAATCTTATAAACTATAATAAGAAGCTATATGACATCAAAATAATTATATCTAATTATCCTATTGTAATAAAGTTTAAAATATTCCTTTCAATATTGTGATCGTTTTATTTTCCCGACCTAAAAAGAAAAAAATTTTAGAATTTTAGAACAGTTTTAATGATAAAAATTATAATCGGTTTGAATAAATAATAAAAGACGAAATAAACTCGTGAAATTAAAAAAATATGACATAATTTATGGGTTTTTTCGGTTTTTCTTGTTATTTAATCGTTTAAACTAAAAATAAACTATATCACAGGACTCCCAGTAAAATTTAAATACAAATTGATGGGTCACACTTATGTGAAATTTTTTTCCAACTTTGAACCCAAAGTTCATGGGAGGGCGCAAAAGTTACAAAAAATCGAGTGACCACTCAATTTGTATGAGAATTTTGCGGGAAATATTGTGGTATGATTTATTTTTAATTTTAGAGAAATTCGAGAGGGTTATTCCAAAATTCCTCCAATTTTGGAAAAAAAACGAGATCCTATTTTACACTCCACCAGGATACACGCCCATATATTACTATGGTTCGAAAGATTTACACCCTGTAAATATAAATGTACAGATACACTTGTATTGCAACTTGCATTGCTATAACTTAGTCCGGCGCACTATTTTGCGTTTTAATAAATAATGTTATTTCTAACAGTAAAGTTTCTGTGAATTCAACACTATATACATGATTAGTCATGGTTAAGCTTTTATAGGATATATGTCACTTGCAATAGACTTACGCTGTCTAGGATGAATTGGAACTGTTTAAATTAAATTGGCTACGTTATCAAATGCCACTATGAATGATAAATTACTTTAGGGCTAAATAAAGATTAATTATTACATACTTACACAAACAATGTAGGTAGATATTTACATGATATTAAAATACAAGAATAGAAATATACAGAATGATTAGTTTTGAGTAAGACACTCATCTTCTCAGAAACGTTTTTGAGAAGAGAAAAATTATTATTATTATTATATTTTTGTTTTAAACTCAATATAAGACAGTCAAATAATTTCATCTCTTCAATAATAAAAAAAATTATTTTAATCTTCTTAAACAATAACCCCTTTTTAGCTCCAAATCAAAGCTGAGGAGGTATTAGTTTTACTATGAATTTTTTTTTTTGTCTGTTACCACTTTTTTTCAACTCTCACCGAACCGATTTCTTTCAACGATACACCAAAAGATCAAAAATCGTATCTAGTCAAAGACATTACCCTTAAAAAATGAAAAAATTTCCCTCGTTCCCCATAAATGGGAGAAATCTCCAAAAAAATTACAAATTTAAAAATCGCTAATTTTCGAATTTTTTTACTTAAACCTGACATAACTTTTTCAAAATTGAACAAATCAATATAAATTTTTTTTTAATAGATGCATTATGTTCTTACCTATCATTTGATATAATTTTTTTATAGATTTGTCCCTTTACCTGCTCACAGGAAAGGATTCAAAATGACAACTTTTTCACAAAAAATTTACTTTTTCGACTTAATTTTTGAATGTGTTCCGGAAAGTCTGAAACTTTTATATAAATATCTTAAATTAAAGCTAATGTAATGTACTTTATTATGGAAAAAAAAATTTCGGACTTTATATTGTTTTCATGGTGAAAATGACTACCAAATGCTATTTTTGTGTGAAAATTCTCGATTTTATTTTTTATATTTTTAACTTTATATTGCTATAACTTATTGAAAAGTGTAAATGTACAATTTTTTTACATGAAATAATNATTATTTCTTTATTTATATCCTGATTATGATAAAGTATGTCTAATGAAAGAGGTATACAGGGTGTTCAGTAAGTCAGGAAACGGGTTTCTATTGTTCTCATTGTTTGTAACAATGAGAACAATAGATACCCGTTTCCTGACTTACTGAACACCCTGTATACCTCTTTCATTAGACATACTTTATCATAATCAGGATATAAATAAAGAAATAATAGATCACGTAGCTTTTGGAATAATCAACCAATTTTTTAAAACTAAACACTATCTAAAGATTTGCATCGAAGCGTTTTTTATAATAGTTATTTTAATCACTGTCAGATATAATTATATTTATATTATGACAGGAAAAAATTATGAACAATTATGTTCCAATAATTTTTTTTTATTTGATTAATTGTTCATGTGTTACAACACGTTACAGATGAATAAATATTTATGTTAAAAAACAACTAATGCTAAGAATTAAGGTATTTTACTGCTATTCTAAAAATATAAAAGCTTTATATAATCATAAATAAAGCTTTTAGGATATTGTTTACAATTGTTATAGTTCATGAGTTTTATAGTCTATATGGAGATTTCAAATTAAAACGTAGTATTTTCTTAGACTAATTTATACCTTTGATATATTGACACCAAAAATTATGCTTGTGAAATAAAATAGTTTTAATGATTTTCATTTTTAATAACTAATTAAACAAGATAATATGTATAAAAAACAATTTTTTATATTCATATTATCAACATATTAAGTGTTAAAAATCTTTTCACCATAAATTGAGGAATATCTAGGTTTATGCATCTGTAGAATATAAGCATCTTACATCAAATCATTGCAATGGACATGTTAATGTAATAAACATAACTTTCTTTGGGCATAGATTAACGAATAATGAGCATGCGTAGTGGTCAAAACGTCAAATTTAACGACTTAATTACCAGACGACGAACGTTGGCTACATTATATTAATGAACATATTGTGTAGATCTATTATTTCTGTACACATTCTTATCTTGTTTATGATGATAATGTATTTATCATTAAATTACACGAACAAATGTTATCTGCCGCTACAGAAGCAGACTACATATGTTAACATCCGCTATGCACTTGATTTTTGTGCAATTCTATTTCATTAATTAATGAATCAAACACTATTAATCTCTGTAATTTTAACATTTGAACATTATAGTAGTGTATAATTGTAGTATTTTGTTAGCTTAAATTAATATTTAGCATGGTAAGTGTATGATTATAAAAATCATTCTTATTTAAAATTATAGTTAGCAATTCATTTTTATTTGTTTAAGGCGATTAAATTAGTTTCGAAACTAATTTTATTAGTAGCATGCTTTTGTTTATTACTAGTTCACGGAATTCCTAAAAATCCTAACGATGTTCATGAAAAGGTACTCAATAATTCTCAAATTTTAAAGAAAAATTAACATTTAATTATATGACCTTTTTATACAAAACTTTAATGCCAGAATTATTATATGCTTATAAACTAGTTACAAACACAACAGAAACATTTTAGAGGTGAAGAACATGATCCCAACTATGATCATGAAGCATTTCTTGGCCAAGAAACTGAAGAATTTGATAATTTAACTCAAGAAGAAAGTCAAAGAAGACTTGGGTAATTTATAATGTTATTATTTTTTATTTTTGTGTAAAAATATGTTATTTTTTATAGTCTTATAGTTAAGAAAATTGATAAAAACAATGATGGGTTTGTTACAAAAGATGAACTTAAAAGTTGGATTATATATACTCAAAAACGTTACATTATGAATGATGTTGAAAATCATTGGAAAAACCAGAAAGTTAACAATGAAGGAAAGTTATCTTGGGCAGAATATCGTAAAGACACTTATGGCTTTATGAGTGGTAAGAAAATAAATTTATGAGTAGGCATAATACAGACTTTTTCCTTTGTTCAAATAATTTAAAATCTTAAAAAACAGTATACTTATAAAAACTTTTGTCTAACTAGTTCATTAAAATTTAAATCACATGAAATTGTTTAAGCATTTAATATCACCAGTTTTACCTTTTTGTTTACTGGCGTAGAATAAGACCTTCTGAACTTAGAGATTTATATTTTATTAATTATTGATATTTGTTCACAAATAATTAATCCACCTCTAAAAGTACTTTGTGGATGGAGATAATAGTATTTGTAATGATTAATATAAAATATGAATAACATTTTAGCAGCATATTTAAAACTGATAATTTCTTTAAAATTTGTATTAATGAATATTTATTATGTGTTATATTTACTTATTAGATGAAGAAGCAAATGTCGCCCAAAAACAAGATGATTCATATACATATGCTAAAATGATACTAAGAGATAAAAGAAGATGGGCTGCAGCAGATTTAAATCATGATGGTTTACTAACTAAAGACGAATTTGTATCATTTTTACACCCAGAGGAAAGTAATCACATGAAAGACATTGTTGTCTATGAAACAATGGATGATATGGACAAAGACAAAGATAATAAAATTTCTATTAAAGAATATATTGGTATTATATCAAATAAATTATAAAACATAGTGAATGAACAATTTACCTTAAATTTTTCATATAAATAATAACATTTTGTTGTATATTTTGGACCACTTGAAACATTTTTTTATAGAGGATTTATTTCCTGGAATAGAAGAAAATGAAGAACCTAGTTTTGTTATTAGTGAAAAAGAACAGTTCAAAACATACAGAGACAAAGATGGGGATGGATTTTTAGATATAGGAGAGGTGTTACATCGAGTCCTGTTATATATCAAGATTCTTCAACCTAATACTTTTATATTTTTAGGTAAAAGATTGGATATTACCTGAAAATTTTGATCATGCTGAAGCAGAGAGCAGACATTTAATATATGAATCAGATGCTGATGCTGATGGTAAATTAACAAATAATGAAATAATTACAAAATATGATTTATTTGTTGGATCTCAAGCAACTGATTTTGGTGAAGCTATTTTGAAACACGAAGAATTATGAACAAATTTAATCGGCTTAAGATTTTTATTAGAGAACATTTTTTTTAAATTTTTACATAAAAATTATACTAACTTAATGAAACTTTTATAACATTAAAATTATAAATTTTATGTTCTAAAATTAAATTTATATACATATGAAAGTTACAAGATTGTATACTTATATTTTTGTATGAATAATAAATGTTATTTAATTATTTTTTATTTTGTGACTAATTTTTGGAATATATACTTTTTATTTAAAGGTTTTACCTTGTATGTATTTGAACTTGAAAGTTTTATTCTTGATAAAATAAAAAATTCAATACTTTAAAATTCAAAATTTGGATAGTAAAATTTGAATTCGAAATCCAAAAATTTTAATTTAAGATTTAAAAATGTTTAAGAAAAATTTAATTAATTTTTAATAATTTAAATATTAATTATGATATGAATAAAATTAACTTTTTTGTAATAAAATAATTTTTAGAAAAATTAACAAATTAAAAATTATCTTCGAAAAATTCAAATTTATTATATCATTAATATCTCCATATTCACGTTTATGTTATAAAATTAACAGTTATGTACTTAAAATTAAGGCACAATATTATGACAAACACATTTAAAGTTATATTAATTTATAATACATATAAATTTTATATTTTTAATTGACAAAATAATTTTCTTTTATTTAAAAATAATAGACAATTTTTCAGGATTATTTTTTAATGGAATTAGTAAATCCTCTATACTGTACTCTGAGCTCATTCCATTAATAATTTACTTTAATTAAAAAAAAACAATCAAGAAGTTGTTAAAATATCAACTCAATTCAATGTATTGTAAAAGTCCATTGTTAAATTCAGGTTAAATTATTTTTTTTTAGAAATGATTTATATATTGAATTGTATGTTATCAAAACCTGTGAAATATTAATGACTGGTAGTAGCACACACAAATAGAGTACAGTATTATGAAATTACAAAATAAAGTTATTTAATTTTGTAGTTGAAACCTATTATTTTATCAAACCTAATTCGACAAATGCTTTTAAAATATTAGAAATGATTTTAATTATCTGTATGGAGAACACGGGTTAAATAACTGTTTAATTGATAAATAAGATTTTTTTTTTCAACTTTTGAGTTTTTTTTTTTTCAACTTTAAACATTTGCCATATTGTTGAAAATGTAGATCAAGTGAGTGCTAAGAAAATAAATTATAGCACCCAAAAAAACCTACATAGTATAATAATTTTAATATGGATAAGATATTTCTTCGAACTAAGAAAACTACACTGTTGAGATCCTTACTAATTATTGAAGTTGTTGAAGTTTAATGAGATTAAAATTGAAGAGTTGAAAATATTTTTCTAACTTACAAATAATTAAGAAATAAATGCAAAAAAAATCTTTCTCACATAAAGGTTCGTACCTCGTACGCCAAACGTTAAAGACATAAATTGATATCAATATCAATAAAATAGCATATTTTTAAATACACTAGCCATTTTCACCTTGAAGACTATCAATATTTCAATTTTTTTTTTCTAAATAAAGTATATTACATAAGCTTTAAATCTTAGATTTCTTCCTGTTGTCGAGTCTATAAGTCTGAACCTATTATGAATCGATAACTGGCGTAGAATATGCTCTCCTATTAAAGGCTTAAAACATTCTTAACATTTAATATTCGCATTAAAATCTCCAATAATGATTTGTACACAACCTCGTGGTATATCACACAATGTATTCTGTCTAACAAAAAGTGGTAAGATAAAAACTGAACAGTTTGTTTCTTACCTTTCATTTAGTGATGTAATATAAAAAAAGTATAATGATATCTGACAGTGATTAAAATCACTATAAAAAAAAACGCTTCGATGCAAATCTTTGGTGTTTAATTNTTAAAATCACTATAAAAAAAAACGCTTCAATGCAAATCTTTGGTGTTTAATTTTAAAAAATTGATGGATTATTCCAAAAGCTACATAATCTGCTATTTTCCTGAATGAAAAAGGAATTATTAAAAAATATTATTTCATTTGCATTTTATTTACATTTTTGTAATTAACAATTTAAATAATAAATTATAATAATAAAACAGAATAAATTAAAGTAGTTTTAAATACACATAAAAATTGAAACATAAAACAAAATTCAATTTAATTTATACAAAAACAAATATACTAGAAAAATGAATAAAAATACTATATGTTA